TGTTGACCGGCAAAGCTACATGACTTATTTCTGCAATATTTCTATGCACTAACCGCCGTAATCGGAGGCAATTAATGGCTACTTAGACAAGTGCTAGTTGACAGACTGGGGTCTGTCATAGCAATTGGTTTTGAAAAAAAATCGTTACCAAGGAATAGTTTAAGTAATCATTAAATGTCTCTGAGTATCGCAGTAAGAAAGATATCTTTTTCTTGAAACTACATGCTTAATTTTAAAGTTTGTTCACATAAAAAAACAGATAGTTTTTTAATAAACCTGTCATGACTTTGCATTCGATTATTAACTTTTCGATGAAACATTTATCTATCGGAACATCAAAATACCTAATTTGTCCGATGAAAAAATCTCGTGAAAAGACTAGACAGACTAATAGTCTATCTAGTCTGTAAAGGCATCCGTTATTATTAAATTTTGAGCTATTCAAGTATATGTCAGTATTTATGAGTCACACAAAAACGCAAAATTGTACAGCTAAACTTTTTGTATAAAATTGAAAGTGATGGGTATTAACAAAATACTTTATGTTTCAGTAATAACAGACAATATGAAAGTATCTAAGTGATGGGTAGATAAGAATATAATTGTTTTTTGTAACAGAGTAAAAATTTCAAGACAATCTTTCAAGTTCGTCAGTAACTTAAAAGAACATTAAACAACAAGGACATTCAAATGGACCAAATAAACTATTTCATGACAAAGGTGTCGATATTTAATAGGCCATAAAAATCAATAATAACGCTGAGGTATAAAACTTGACAAATCAAAGATATTTTTCAAAAAAGTCTTTTAAACTGCCAAAGCAAATCTTAAAACTTAAAGGTACCTGAACCGAACGAAATCAGAACAATATCAGAGACGATAAAAGGGAGACAACTCGCAAAAAAACTAGATATCGATAATCTCCACGGCGAATGTGCAACCACAAACAGCTATTTAAAAACTATAAAAATAAATGACACTCATTAACATGAGTGTTTGGTCCTTTGTGCCGCGACAATGGTCCTTGGCGTCTTACAGGACCACTATAATGACATCGCATTAGTAAAATGTCAAAACAGAAAGGACACACTCGAAGACGAGCGCTTGAAGTAAATTTTTGAGGATTACAAATTGGAGGCAATTTGTTAATTCTTTCTTATGCGCCGCGAACGTTTAATACATTTTAAAAGTTTTCGCATTGATTGTACACAATAGTACGATTAATGTGTGCGTATTAGTCTTGTAGAAATGTATATTTTATATTCATTTGTACGTCATTAACCGCTTTTAAGTTGTACTTTTGATACATCATGAGGCGTATTTTTAATGTTAAGTCGACGGTAATATTTATATCTGTTTTATAAATGCATTTATTGAGTGTGCCAATTGCAACACACGTGCTGAATATCTTTCGCGTTCCTATATTCCGCTTTTTTTTTATTTCGTCAGATTCTTTTTGCTATTTCACTTTATTGTTAGGATTGAATTGATTGCATTTTCTTATGATGTTCTTTCAGTTTATCTTAAATGGTTGACATAATTATCTTGGGTGTAGATAAATTTCATTGACTTCTTACAACGTTAATTAAAAGGGTTTATTAAAATTTAGAAATGGAAATAATTATGCCCGGTATATGGCAATAGGCTCACCCCCTATTACATGGGACTCAACATAAATAGTGAAAAGTGGGTGTTACATTGTACAATGGTATAATGTACACCTCTGCCTACCCCTTCGGCAAAAAAGGCGTGATTTTTTAATGGCATAAGCCGGTAAATGGGTAGACGGATCACCTGATAGTAAGCAATCGGCGTCGCCCATGAACACCTGGAACACCAGAGGCGTTACAAGTGCGTTACCGGCCTTTTGGGGATTAGGAGTTTGAGGATCGTTGGGGATTCAGGAATTGGGGAAATTGCTGAGGATATGTAAAATTTAGAACAAGGCGATTAAAATATATAGCTTAATTGAAAATATCAACGTCTGCCGAGTCTCCGCGTCCATGCAAGCTGGTCCCGAATAAGACTCCCGTTGTGACTCGAAACGAGTAGAGCTTCTTGCAGTTATTTTTTGTGTGTAAACTGTTATTTACAAATTATTTACTTTGTCTTACAATAGTTATGAATCAAAGAGAATATATAGCAGTATAGATCAGATAAAAATTATAAGAGAATTTCCATAGCAAATAGATGTAACAGAAGACTGTTAGATCTATCAGCTCTAGCAGCATTCACTCTGTATTCTCTGACCTGTAACATTATCTACATGTAACACATTCTTATGTATATGTAAATGTTACAGGTCGTGTGTTGACAGTCGAGTAGAATACAATTAATTTGTCATCTCCCGACACTACCCGACCTACACATTGACAAAGACGAGCCAACAGCTCTGATAAACCTGAACCTTTTAAACTGCGATGAGCAAACCGATTGGGCTCTTGATGTTACTGATAATTCTGTATAATAGGTACGATGTTCTATAGGGACAGTTCCTCGATAATGTGTAAGACATACACGTTGTATGTAACAGAATGGTATGTTATAACAGAACAACATCATGCCTTTTTATCCCCAAAGGGGTAGGCAGAGGTTCACATTACGGCACTCAGCGCCACTGTACAATGTAACACCCACTTTTAACTATTTATGTTACGAGTTATAATATATATATTATGTTATACCATATGTCGCGGAGAACCTAACGGGTAACCGGGGCTCCGGCAGGAGAAGGAACGGAGTGGGTTTTAGTCAGTAAGAATCTGACACTCCCTCCCGCCTTACCATAGGCAGTCATTCGATGATTATCCCCCCTTAAAAAATAAATTCCTTATACTATATAGACAGTTATTGGTGCTAAAAAGTACTGATATATGTTATAGGTACTATTACCATAGTCTACCATATAGCAGCCTTTTTTGAGGGGAAAAATGATTCAAAGACTTCTGCAATCTTGGGTGAAGTGAGAGGGAGTATCAGATTCTCACTGACTAAAACTACCCTGTTCCCACTCCTGCCTCAGATTCTATAAAGTAGCCTACAATCTGCTGATGCCTACATTGACTGCACGGTTGGCGCGGTTGGCGGGGAACCGGTTGCTGCGCAATGTGTAGCGGGTTCGATTCCTGCACGGAACAACTCTTTGTGTTATCCACGGATTGTTGTTTCAGGTCTGGGTGTCATGTGTATGTGAAATTGTATGTTTGTAAACGCACTTACGACACAGGAGAAAATCCTAGTGTGGGATTTTTCATTAAAAAAAAATCTGTATTTTGTTTGTTACAAAGAGTATATGTGTAATATGAGTCGTGATAACAATTTTTAAACTTTGTATGAAGCAAAATAATGCTCGATCAACTTAATGATTGAGGCATTTCATAATCAGACTTCTAAGCAGCAGTAAGTAACTGATAAGCCAGTCTCCCTACCGCGTTCACATTTAGTTTTAACACATAATGTATTCACATATAACAACTATACTACTACAACTGTAATAGATAGTTGTAAGCTTTTGCAACAAATTGTTACATGGATGCTGTCATTGATTTTATCACAGCTATAAAGGTTTTCCTACAATTGTACCTCTATGTTCGCTCAATTGTATTCATTCAATACTGCCCAGCACACGGTAATTGCTATTTTGAGGATAAATAATAATTTACTATAAAATAAATTGGAATATTTACAGTAAAATTTTGCACAGAATTTATTTAGTACCGGAGGAGTTAGACAGAAGTCTTTACATATGTCGAAGTCAAAGTCAAAGCATTTATTTTTAAGTAATGCTTAAACTGTCAAACACCAAGCGGTCACCGGTGACCGCAACCTATTGTTCTATAATTGTGTCTATAATGACGGTACTCGACGAGTTAAATAGGCACTTTTAAAATGTCAAAAATTTAATTGTCCGGCCGTCTGTCTGTCAATAAGGCTAGGCTGCATGCTATGTATATATTACCTTAAATAGTTCGTTTGTTGGTCCTTCTTCTATGAGAAAATGGAGCCTTTTATGTCTTCAGGAGATAGTTAGGTGACTAGAGAGTAGTAAAGCTACGTTTTAATCAGATGGTCACAAAATATACTTAACACAAACTTTTATCAGTTTTAATTACTATGTTTTCGGCTTATTCACGTAACTGTTTGCTGCTCATGCATAAGAGCCTCGCTAGCATGGCTTGAAACTAGTTGAGTTTCTCGGCAAAAAGTTTTGCCAGTTTTGTTTTAAGTTCATTGTAAAAGGAGATAAGTGAACCGATTGCCAAAAACATATTTTTTCAGACTACGTACAATCTGCAGTTATTTGGTATGTAAATACGAAAATAAAAATTGATTAAAAACAGACACAGTAACATTTATTTGGCTACCGAGCTGAAAAATGGTTACAATAGATATAAGTTACTAATAATTATTACATTGAATATATTGGATGTATAGCATGCCTGTTGTTAGTTGCGCAGCCACGCCAAAACGCCTGTACAGATCCGAAAGGACCTAATGTAGCACTAAAGTAGTCTCATCTCTTGAGCAATTAAGGTTTTTTTATACAAATTCAATTCAAATGTCAAAAATCGATTTCAGACCGAAGATGATCGAAGGTAATCAATTATTAATTGCACACGTAAAAGAACATACTATATACATTTTTCGATTTATCCATGGTGCCAAATGACAACTGTCAAAGATGTAACGCTTTGCTTTTTGTATTTTAGTACTAACAACAAGCTACTTATATTACTGTTGCTAGCAACATTATGCTCGTCATATTGTCATTCTAGTATCGAACCTCCTGTAATCAATGTTTTTCAGACCAACACAGTAGAACACAACTGCATATAATACATTTTCCTTTATAATTGCCCTGATTTTAAACAGATTCAAATCTATTAGAAAAAGAAAACACCTTTGACTTAATTTTTTTGTAATATTTCGTTAGTTATATCTATTTGTGCGAAAAAATTTAGTTAAACTATATTAAGAAACATGAAAAAAGTCATACTTACAGGCACCAGCAACATGAATCTTCTTCATCCATGGATAAATTACCCTGTCTGTATTATCTGAACATATAGAGGAATCATCATCTTCTACAGGTGGAGAATCTAGAAGAAGTCTTTCATCATCGAGCTCTGACCCAGGGGAGCCTTCCCGTCCCAAGGCATGCAGTTTCCTTCCTGCAGGTGCAGCCTCTTCAATATGTCTCTCTAGCCTTAAACCAAGTTCTGCTAAACCTGGAGCAGTGTCAGGGTTATGGGCTGGGTAGCCGTGGTCGGCGTCGGATGGATGCGACGGTTCCGGAGGCCTTGGAGGTGGGGCGACAGGTGGGTGCTGTGGTAATGGATGATAATACCCTCCGTATCCATAACCTGTCCCAATTTGAACTGGGGCATATTGGTGCTGGTATCCGTATTGCAAATGTTGATGTTGGTAATACTCTCCTGGTGGTATGTAGTCTGCTTGGCTGTACTCCTCGGAAGGCGGGAACTTGGGATCCGGTTGAGGTTGGTACCCACCGTTGGTGAGAAATGAGCTCATGGTGGGCGTGGTCCTCTCCGCGCATCACCTCGCACACAAAACGCCTGTTAATATGGCTTCCATTCAATTTAACGACATTCTTTCAATTAATCTCCCTTGTTCTGTTTCAAGCAGTCAATGATAACATGAAAGACATAAAGGTTAGATTATTCTGTTTGTAAAATTTATATAAATAGCTTTATATAGCCATGAACTCAGGAATTAAGATAAATCCTTCAATGCTTGCATAACTTGGAAGTATTTTCAACATAAATTGGCCATCCTTTCCTTCCTTTTATCATCACAAAAAGTGTAAAACCTCTTCATTAGAGAACAACTAACAGGGTATTATAGAATATAATGTTATTTATTTTAACAAACACTTATAAAATGTTTCGTCACAGTCTTGATTACAATTTTATTCACTTTAATCATTTAGAATTAACGTTCAATATTCTTTCAAATTGTTATGAAGTCCACAAACCTTAAACTCAACGTCAGTTTTCTAATCTTCAGTTGTTATGGTCATCACATTTATTAACACTGATATTTTCACTATCTACAGCGATTGTCCACTAAAAAACACTTACACAAACAAGTCAGTTCATTGCACAATTTTGATCGACAAAGTTTTAGAAGAGCGATATTGCAAAGTCATTTGATTTATCACTTTTTGATAATAAACAATGGTGCTGGAGGCGCGCTGTCCTGCAACATTTTGAGACAATATACACTGCCCAACACGCCAGCACACTCTGTCACTTTAAGGACTCCTATACATGTTCATCAATTTTTACATACCACCTTCCATTTTTAAGGCGGAGCTGTTCTTCTTGCTACTTGCTTTAACACCAGTCAACAAAAATGAACCGTATAGAAGCGCAATAAGAGTTGATTTGACTTGTTCCGATCTTTAAAAGCAATAAGCTGCAAACATGCTTTTCCCCCTCCCGCCTATAAATATCCGAATGGGTGCGAAAGAAATAGACGCATAAATCGTTCGTCAACGTAGAAACCGGTATTATATTGCCATCTCTTTCTACTAAGGCAGCTCTTGCATTCGAGTAAAAGAGTACAAAGATTTAAACGAACTTTACTATAGAAGAGATTAAGAAGCTGTTTAATAATAATACAGAACGAACATGGTCTCTGTTCGTAGCGACACGGCGGCGAGTTTTAAATATTTAATATGCAATTTCCTTTATTTTTCATTATTATACTGTTCATTATTTTAATGGACGACAAGTGAGATATAATTAGGTAGAAATTAATAGTTTTGATACAAACCGTGTACGGCCATCATACGGTCATTTGCATTTTAGTATCTGTCACTCATGGTCAACGTAATATTAATGATTTTGAGTGTTTAGTCTTGTTTTACGGTTTTACGTGTCAAAAAGTAGTTAACATTATGTTTAGTGATAAAATTCATTTAAACTAACCGTCATTCCAGTAAACATAATGAACTTATCATTTTATTTGTCAATAAATTGCCAGTAAATGGATTCTCATTATATAGTTACTTGAAAAGTTGATAATTTTATTAATTAAACAAGTTCAAAAACACGAACCACAAACAAGATGCGAAATAAATTAAACATGACAAAGCTTTAGGATCAAAAAACCAAAATGTAAAACAATAAAATACAAAAACTAAACAATAACAAGAGAAGACTTAAAACAAGATATCTATCATAGGGATCACACGACAAATCCGATCAGTCCTTACGTTGTAAGAAAAAACAAAGCAATCACTAGTCATGGTACTATGATACCGTCTAAGCCACTAATACTACACTAAGACCCGACAAGGGAGCCGACTTGGACACCAAATAAACAAAAATGGTGATTTTATTGAATTAGATGATCACAATGGACCACGGTGGAGTTTTGCTGAGTCATCACAGCTCCCGGCCCTGCTACAAAAGGTGGTAACACCCGATCAATGGATGTTTGATCAATAAATAGACGTGTATCTGGTCCGGTTCGGACCTTTTTTGATACTGATTCTGTTTTGTGTTACTTAGATTCTACATTCAGCTGCTGTAAGTACCTCTCAAATTTGTTAGATGTAGAAAGTTTTTGAATTACTTTAACATTAGAAAATTTATTAAATTTTTTAGGGGCCGTGTTCTCTACACGTATCCTCGATAGCCGAAGCGAATTCATAATTATATGAACTATATCTAGAACCATTTTAAACTTTGAGCTTCGTAGTAGGTGTGACTTTTATGAATTTTATTTCGTGACCAAAGCCACGAATTCACCTTACACTTAGCAATATTGATAAAATAACTTCACGTTTTGCTGTCACCATACGTACTAACAATCAATAGAACAACGTGAGTCTGAATATTCTCAATTAATTTTATAGGGAATCCCTATTGATTTATAATTATTTTCCATGAATACATCACCTGATGATGACAATGATAATTATGTGGCTACTGTGAGTAGCGAACCAGTTCGTGTATTATTTAACACAAGGAAAACGTCAAGCATCAATGCTATTCCTCCACTGTAGATCGTGTTTAATCACTATGCAATCTGTCGACGTATCTGTCAGTCTATGCTATCAGTAATCTTGACAAGCAGTAAATTGTTTTAATCTCAGGCAACTAGTTGACTACTGATTTTTTTTTGCTCCACCATGGTCAAGGTCAAATATGTGGGTGCAAATTCTAATACTACTCTCATAATGAACACTACGATAATTTCTACGATACTGTGTCAATACAGGACGCTTGGAAGCATTAAAGAAATTGAGCTACCAACGAACATTTTATAGAGTGTCAGTTTCAAATTGAAATAATTTGCTTATAAGACATAAATGTCCCCCATTGAAGACATCCTTATCAGCGCAAAGTTTCTTCAACAAACTTGCTCACTCCCGTTGTTTTTTCCCGTGACGCTAACTGCCTGCCAGCTCGTTCTATCCAGCGCAAACTTAATCCAAGTTTAATGAACAATACGACAGGCCCTTAATCAAACTTTAGACTTCCTAACTTTTCCCTCATACAATTTAGAACTTTAAATCATCTTGCAATGAGCTTAGATTCTTCTGCAGGTGTGAATGCAGATAAGTCATTTCGTTATTCAAATTCTCAGCTGGAGAAAAACCTATTTAGCCGAGTTTGATCGTATTATTTGTTTCTTGTTTTGCCTTTTAGATTCAGTGTCGGAATAAAGAGAGTTTATTTAAACTGGATCTTATTAAAATTTCGACATGGTCATTTATAATATTCAGATTTGATAATTCATTTTGATTACGATAGGATTTCAAAGATATTTTGTTTTCGTTTTCAAACGATTTACACGAGGCTGTATCATTAAAATTGAGAGCAAAAAACACAATTTTAAATTTCGCAGTCCTGTTCCCAATCACATGTTGTGAAGGGGATCGTATAGCCAATTTTCTGTAATGGCGGGTTGCGTTTCCTATCTTTGTTGGACCGAGTGCCGACGTTTTTTTGCAAAGTCTCGCCCCTCCCATGCCGAGGGCTGGGTTCGATGAAATTTATGGGGTACACATGTACGTTCGTATTTATATACCTCTATTTTTAAGGTTTTTTCTTACATTTCTACATCTTATATGTGTTGACGACATCTGGTGATTTATACATAACGTCTATGGAAATTCATATTTATTACACTTGCACTGTTAGTAGCTTCTTTATAATAATTTAATATTAATAATGTCAATACACACCTACATTCATTGTGTTCGCGTCTATGTTAAAGCAAGCTCCTCAAAGCCGCGCACAAGTTTCTGACGCGGGTACGTCATCGTATGTCAGACGTTTGACAGCTGACACCACTCTCGCCTCCCTGTTGCCTCCCACGGCCCTCCTAGGTGACGTCACCCATCAAAAGGATTCATTCTGGATAGAAACTCTATGTCTGGAAAGATTTAAATTATGTAGTAACTGAATTCAAGTCATCCCAGTACGTAAGTAAATTATTCTTTCATCAGTTTTATTGTCACTGTCCTTAAGTACTTACATATTGAAAGATTGAATGAAGTGATAATTATACTTATCTGTTACCTTAGTTGTATTTTCAGAGTTCTCATTAGGTTTTGTCATCTAGACCAACAATAACTGTACAAAAATCATATTACGTTAGTGTATTAAAAGAACCACTATGAGTAAGTGCAGTAAGCATATTAAGGTGTTTATTTATTGTAAAAGCCACTGCTTCTAGTTCCAATATTTTCAGATGTATTTGCCAAGATTTATATGGCATCTTCTACCACAGCCAAAGTTCATATTTTGCCATTTTATGTGTATGTATGCCTCACAAAAACGTCAAATGTTACAGCGTCGAGGGGGAACGTTTGGTATTCTTGACAAGACCAAGTGCTTCGACGTAAGTCCTTACGACGTTCAGGGTAACTTCGACCGTAGTGTAAGTGACTTAGGGATTTTTGTGGTTTATTGCAGCTTTGTCGGTTATGGTGGTTTCCAGTTGAGTGAGCAGATGTTTCATTAATCAGCGAACAGTCGCGACAGTGCAGCAGCGCTGGCGTCGCGGTTCAATTTTTTTCCTCTTGCGCCCTTAGATTGGATATTGGACACGATTTCCTGGGAAACTTGGCAGAGACTGGGTGGTCGCTAATCAATAGTACTACGTATCTATTACTCATGATATGTACTGAGACAGATAATAATTCATTATTTCCTTCCTTTTGTTTTTGTTTATTCTTTCCATAATTCAGCTATTCACAGGATGTGTTAATAATGAAAACGTTTAAGCGTCATTGTATTCTGTCATAAACATGTATAGCTTTGGGTATTGATGTGAAAAAAAATTTACTAAATAGACTTACAAGACCACTCTAAGTAATTCTCCTAAAATTAAAATCACATTACATTTATCCTATGCAACCACTACCAACACCAATCAGTACATACGTAAATAAACAAAAACATCAATCAATACATCAACAAAACAACAAGACAACTTCACAAATTAAACATTTCATCTCTCAACAGGACCACGAACCCGAATCTTTTAACCCTCTTCAACTTTATCTAAAAGCAAAAGCAATTTGCATTTCAATGCATAAATTTATCCGACACACGCTACCCTGTGTAAGTATTGCTATCTCCACCCTCTGTGTGCACTCTTAGAATTATCCCTCCGCGAATAGGGGATAGTATTGTTACTGCATTTTGATATTATGTATGGACGCTATATAGGCCCTTGTGAGCATATATGCTAGAGGATCGTTGTAAGTAATTTTGTAGCTTAACAACATATATTGTTATATTAAAGAAAGGAATGGTTTTCTCAATCATTTTTTCTTAGATGCTCTTGAATGTGAAACTATTTAAGGACCTTGTTTTCTAGATATTTACTTATCATTACAATAGTTAAAACAATAGGTAAGCTAAGAAGTTTTTGATATAATAATGTATATAGAATAATGGATCTATCATAGATCAGTTCAATAACCGATTTTATTCCAAAAACTATAGAGTACAGAAATTTTTACAGCTATATTTTTTTTTATTCTAAGTACTCTATTACTACAATTAGTAATCTACAGAGATGATACCAACGGTGGAGAAGATGCACTATGATGAGTTATATAACAATTCATTATCATAGAATTAATATCAAGTTAAAAGCAAAGACGTCTTCAACACGCGCCTTCAAAAAATGCTTCACCTATCCAAATAAATCTCACAGCAGCACAACGCAGAATTATAGTGCAAAAGATATTTATGAGAAGCAAATA